ATATCCGAATAAAAGACACCATTAACAGATCAGTTTGTAATCACGTAATAACGTAATCAGTTCGTAATTTGTAAAGAAAAGTTACTTTCCATAAATGAGATTTCTTCTCAAGAAATATCGCTGAGAGAAGCAGCTGCAGCTAATTCGAAAAGAGGAGGGCAAGGCTATACAAGCTGTCATTGCATAAAAAAAGTGGTCCATGAATAAATGCAGTTGTAAAAGCAAGGGACTCTTGTGCAATTCAAAGTGCCATAACAGTTTAAGTTGTTGCAATAAATAAGATTGTATAACGTTAATCACATAATTTATGTGTAAGTTTATTATTGTATTATTTTCTTTAATGATTAAGAATGTACTGTTCGTTTTAGGTTCAACAGTTTATTTAAATGTTCTGTTACTTAAGCTTTCTCCTACAGTATTTTCACATATTAAAATGTTGCATTTTTGTCTTAACGTAATAAAAATATTCTTATTCAACATGCACCATCAGTGCATGCCGAATGTCGACATTTGCCGGTGTAAGTGAGAAATAATGATATTTAGCAAATATTTCGTACATACACGAAACGACTGTGTGAATGCTGACATTCACCAGAGAATGTTGACATTCGCCAGATATCGGTCATTCACAGTAAGATATATATTAGAGAGAGTCCGATGTCCGATATCAGAAATGATTTTTTCAGCCAGAAATATTACAAAAATTGAAATGTAAGATGAGCGCACTTTATATCAGAGTGGAAGACTCGCTCAGCTATTATGGACATTTGATAAAAATCGGTTAGACATCCTTGGTGTCAGTGAAGTTATATGGATGACAAATGTCCTAATCAGTAGTGATCTTCCATATTGACGATTCTTACGCTTCCATAAAGAACTGTATTGCGTTCCATAATACGGGAAGATTCCATAATATGATATAAGATTAAGAATATTGACGATGCCATAAAGAACGCTTATGCGTTCTTTATGGCATCGTCAATATTCTTAATCTTATATCATATTATGGAATCTT